TGTTCTTCTGGCAGCTGTAGGCTTAATTTTGCTGCTCTTTTTCTAATTGTTTGAGGTGTTGATTTTGGTACTTCTTTTTTGATACGTGTGTTTATTGCTATAAATTGCCCCAAGTACAGCTTTTTCTTTGACCCAAAGGTTTTGGTATGTTGTATTTCCATTCTCAGTTGTTTGAAGGATATTTTTTTTCCTGTCATTACTTTTTATTTTTCAATACAAAAGTGACCTGGTTCACATGAATTGCCAGCTAAAATTTATGCTTAAAAAAGTAAATACTCTGTATTAAAGAGAAAATTCTAAGAAATGTTCTTCATGCTCACATATAAAACAGGATTATGATGCATATAATGTATTGAAATAAAAATTCACAAACGGTGGCTGCAATTGTCAACCCTTAGCCAAATACAGCATATACCCACAGTTCTTATATGCATAAACAATTCAAAATTAAAGTCTGTAATGGAAATGTCAAGAAGTCATAACCACTTCACTACTGATGGGTTGTACTATCCCTGCAACCAGGCACAGCAGATGTGCACCTCTGATAGACTCTTTAGAAATTTAAAGCTATCCTAGCTATAAATAAGGAATATGTAAACATGATGTACATCGTGATGCCAAAGCATGAGGGCTATTAAAAAAGAAGATGTGAAGTAAACACCTCAGGTCTCTCTGTAAGCCACTTTCCACTGATTTCGAAAGCTATGGTTTTGTAATTGTCTTAAAAAGGAAAATGCTCCTATGCTGCTGCAGGCAGTAATGTCCTTCTACATTCTCGACTACAGTGCGGTCTTCCCAGCTTCTTGCAGAGCTTGACCTATCTTGTCAAGATTTCGTCAGGAAAGTCAGCTGGTCATATTTTCAGCAGCTGACCATGGGCTCTGACCGCATTCAGACTGGCGGCCGTGGTTCGCCGTGGCCGAAGGGGGTGGGGTGAAGGAATTTTTTAAAGAACATTTTTATTGTGAACTAGGTGGGGATTCAGATTTCAGAGCATAGGTTTTCAGCTCAACACTGTTGAGTGCTTACCAAGCTTGTGGTGCTGTTTGCTTCGTGGGAGAAAGATGGTAAGGGTCTCGTCCCAGCAGCTCTCGCCCCAGAGGGGTGCTGTGACTCGGCTCGACGGCAGTGAGGTCGCTTTGGGTTTGTGTCTGCGTTCCTTATCCGCTCCCAGAGGTAGTTACTTGTCATTTGTGCCTTTGCGCTTGTTTCAGGAATTACTACACATTTGGGTTTCTTCTTGTTTATTTTGTTGAAACGTACTCATTTTCTCTGAGGGTGCCGTGTTAATGATTAATTTCTTCCCTGACTTAAAGCCGTCTGTTCTCTCTTGAAATCGACTTGATTTCTTCTCCATTTGAAAGTTCTTCATCTCCACTGTAATTGGAGATACATTTTCTTTGTGGTTGTCTGCATTGGGAATGGATCCTAATGACACCATGTCTTGCCGGGTGGTTTCGGCAGCTGTGATGAATAAGTCCACACCTTGTGGAAGTCCGTGGGGAATAGACAGTGAGTGGTCGAGGCCAATCCCAGTCCAAGGTCTGAGAAGATAGGCAGTGCCCAACAGATGCTAAGTTGCTTTTTGTTGTTGTTGTTTTAGCCTATTTGATAAACAGATGGTTCATCATAGTTGACCTTGAAAAATTACTACACTGTTTCCCCGAAAATAAGACAGTGTCTTATATTAATTTTTGCTCCCAAAGATGCACTAGGTCTTATTTTTCCATGAAGAAGAACACGGTACACATTTGCTTATTGTTTTATTGTTTTATTATTAAAAGAGACCTCACACTTCCTGTCTGCTCCGGCTGCGCTGTGGCCAACAGTGAGCTGCGTGGCAGCGCCCACCGCTATAGTCCAGAGTCCAGAGTTACAGTAGCTTCAGGAGGCCTTATTTTGGGGGAAGGTCTGGTTTTCGGGGGGATGCGTTATATTTCAGCGAGAGGCAAAACTGTTAAGTAGGTCTTATTTTGGGGGGAATGTCTTACTTTTGGGCAAACAGAGTAGGTACTAAAGGTACCAGGAATCAAGAAAAATGAGGAAACTGAGGTGAAACAGGTAGTTCCTTAAAAAAAACAAAAAACTTGAAGAGTATGAAAAATTTTGAATAGTATTCAAAGATCTTCCTTTCCAGAATCTTATGCCTAGATGACAGTGCTAGTGACTTCTACCACATTTTGAAGGCGCAGTTAAAACTTCTGTCACTCAGGTTACTACAGAAAGTCAGAGCTGCCCAGCTTTTATGACACTAGTGTCACCTTGGTTCTCACCTTGATTCTCACCGTGATAAAGGCAGTGCAGGAAGAGGAGACATTATAAACCCACTTCTTTTGTTGCTGTAGACGAGGGTCCTGAAGAAAACATTAGCTGTCTGAACCCAAGAGTGATACATCACAATCAAATGGAGTTTGGCTCAGGAATCTAAAGATAGTCCTTTAAATAAGTTTTTATGTAGTTTAATTCAGAAGAGTATGTTAGAAACTTTAAAAGCTGTTTATGATGTACTTGTGTATAAGCCGCCCCGAATATCCGCTGAGGCACCTATTTTTACAACAAAAACTGCATTAAAAATGTGCTGAAAAACTTGGCTTATACTCAAAATATATATGGTACTTAGCAAACTAGGTATATAATGGAACCTTACTGTGTACCTGGTGTTGGATTTTGAAACCCTGGTTTTTTAATGGACAATATAAACATCATAAATGAGGATGAATGATATCATGGATCTGACTCATGGACTCATCACATAGCTTCACAAGTTACCAGCATCTGGCAGCCCCTTCTTAGTCTGTACTTTCTCTCTATCTATCTATCTATCTATCTATCTATCTATCTATCTATCTCTGTCTCGCTTTCTTTCTTGCCTTTCCAGGTTACTTAAAAGTAATAGCTCTCCACCACCATCAGCACCATAGAAATTAACAGTAGCTCATCAATCTTTATATCTAGCCAGGGTTAAGATTGTCCTGGTTTATAAATGTGATTTCAAAGTTTACATATTGCATTAATTACTGTGCTTCTCGGTGGTTTTAAAAATCTATAGTAACTTTCTCTCCCTCTTTTTTCCCCCTAAACAATAAACCAGTTGTCTTAGTTAACGAAGGCTGCAATAACAAAATACCACAACGGGATCAGTTTAACAAATACTTATTTTCTCACAGTTTAAAGATGCAGGAAGGAGGTAGTCAGGTGTTGCTCTGTCGACTGTAGAAGAAGGGCGTGGTCGCTTCTGCCCTCTTTGTGTGGCTTGGCATGCCTCTCTCCTTGCCTCTGCTTCTCTCGATTGCTTTTTTATAGCTCTAAAAATGGTTGGTTTAAGATACACATCGTATTAATCCTTTCCATTACCATAACAAACAAAAAAGTCCTTTCCCAAATGGGATTATGACCATAAGCATAGAGGTTCGAGGTAACAGCACACATTTTGGGGAGTACCGTTAAGTACCGTCTGAAAGTTCATGTGCTTGCCACTTGGGAATCACATTCACCCCATCATATCATCCCAAAAGTCATAAATTCAAAAATCTCATATGAGACGGAATCTTGATTATAAATGTGAGAAATTGGATGAAAAGGAGGGATAACAGGCACCAAGCAACTCTCACACTCAGAAAAAATTATATTAGCTCTTAGGGCTTGACAGTACTCGTCTGTTCTATAGGACCTTCGAGGCAAGGGCTGTATATGCTGAGCAGTGTATGTGCTGACATGTTGTCAGGACAGACCAGTCCCTGGAGAAGGACAGCATGTTAGGCAGTGTGGAGACAATAGCAAAGGACAGAAAGGCCCTCAAGGAGATGGACTGACGCCGTGGCTGCAACCATGGGCTCAGGCACAGGAACGACTGTCAGGATGGTATCGGACCGGCCAGTGTTTCGTTTGTTCGTTGTGCAGGAGGTCGCAGTGGGTCAAAACTGACTTGATGGCACCTAGCAACAAGGCAACGGCTCTGCCCTTAGATATGGAGGTGGATTCTGGGTAGAGGAGGCTCCTTGGCTCTAAGCTGCAGCTCCTCCTAGCCTGTTCTCTGTTTGGCAACTCTGCTCCCCTATTGCCCTAATCCACCTGAGTGGCAACTTCATCCCTTTAGCCCCAGCAGCCCCTCAGGGGTGGCAGCCCCATCTTCAGCTCTAGGCAATGGCTCTCTACCCCTTGCACGCAGGAATGGTCATGCCATCAATAGAGTATATTGCTAATAAATCTATGAGATCCAGAAGGTCTACATTTCCTCCAAAGCAAGGATGTGAAGCGGGCAGGGAAGTTAGGGTACTGGAAACAAAGGAGCAGAGCACAGTGAACGAGCTGGCTGGCGCATTGTGGACATTGTAACTAGCGATGGCTCTCCGTCTCATTTCTTGGACTCACGAAGAACTCCTGTGTAGGGTATATTTGTAAGTGTATCTGGCTGACGGTATTGATGAAAGCAGATGAAGGCGCCACTGTGAAGTCATCCATCTGTGGAGCTTTCCCCTCCGGATGCTTCGTGGGCGGCGGCCATATGTGTTCTGTGACCGTTAGACATATGGACCAAGGGAGGACATTCATATCAGTCTGTATGTTGAATACTTAGAAAAGTTCACTTAAACTTAACATAGCTTAACATTTAAACTCCCCATTGCTTTGAAGCCCCTTGATTTAAAATATCTACTTCCAGGAAGGTATTTGTAGTCTTGAGAATTTAAACAGATTTTTAATCTGCTCTACATACATCTGTGTGTTTTAATATAAAATATAATTTCACCAAATATTGGAGGCAAAATTACTGTTTTATAGTACTTTTTCTTCTGAGACTCTGTGGTACACATCCACACTGAGAAGCAGGGTCTTCAGCTGATTCCCTGATCAAAACCTGAAAGGTCTTTGGAGATGGTAGAGCCTCTCTTAAAAAACAGGAAAAGTCACTATGATGCCCTCCAGGATGGGTTCCAGTTGGAAGTTATTCTATTGTGAAACATACTTTATGAGACTGATTTTTTTTTTCTTTAACTTTACAGAGACTGTGCAGTTGATCCAACTTGTGTTTTGTGCATGGAGTGCTTTCTGGGAAGTGTTCACAGAGACCATCGCTACAGGGTTAGTAATATCAAGATGACGGCCATGTGCAGTATTGAATTTCCTGTGCAGTGACCTTTCCTTCCTGTTTTAAGACCCAGAGTTAACATTTAAAAGGAGCGGGAAGAGTGGGTTTAGCACTGTACTATTACATAATTTTAAACGTAGTGGTGCATTATAAATGGTCAGGACCAATATCAAACTTTCAACAAAGCTGTAGTGCACCTCTTCCCAGATCACTGAAGCTTTGCAACAGGCTTATGAGAATGCTACAGTAATTGTAAAACAACAGCTTTCAGATGGATCAAGCATCTCTAAAAAGGTTAAGAAGATCCAGAGATGGCTTTGGGGTGGAGAGGTCAGCTCAGAATGTGATGGCAGCTGATTTGGGGGCCTCCTTAGGGATCAGGAGTCATCCTGGTGGGTTTTCTCAAAGGACACATGATCAAGGGGCTTATGAGGAGGAACTCTGAAGAAAGCGACCATTGCTCTGGTAAGGACCCGCCTGGGAAGTTGCACTGAAGGCTGTTGCTCCTTCTGTCAGTGGACCTGCTCGTGCGTGGAGGGTCGCCGGGCTGTTGTGTGGTGAATTCCCTTGGAAAGCCTTACCCATCCACCCTACCTGCCCCTCGGCTCTAATCTTGCCCCTTTAGATGTCTTTTTACTCCCCAAACTCAAAAGACATTGAAAAGGAAGAAGATTGGAGTCCCTTAAAGACTGTGACCACCGTGTTGGTGGTGGGCATCAAGGAGCCAGCCCTCTTCAGGGGAGGACTGCTGGGATGGACCGGTAGACCCAGGTGGGGGCTGTGTCAAGAAACAAGAGCTTCACTTTTTCTATTTTTATTTTTTTAATAAAGGCTTCTATAATTTTGTGTAGTTATGCTTTTTAGTTTGCCTTCGCCTATTTAAGAATTGTTCTTTCTGTTGGTCTTCTTTTACAGAAGCTTTGCATTTCGTAATATTGTTCAGGGGGTGTCTACCACCGGGTCTCATCGGCCCATTCCAGGGCACAAGACCAGCCAGTTCTATGCCTTCCCTGCCGTAATGCAGTCATGGGCTTAACAGACCCACTGATGACTCCCAAGCCTGTCCTAGTCCTCGATTGGAAGAAAGTCAAAGCCATGAAGATTTAGAGGCGAAAGAACTGTTGCTTGATGGAATTTTCACTCTATCCTCAAATGAAAAGGAATGGATCATTCATTTAAATAAATGCAAACCCTCTTGGGTTCGGGACTTTTCACTCCCGCCCCCCGCCCCCTCTTTTTTTTTTTTGGCTTACCCTTCCTCTGTGCTGATAATAATGAACTAAAACAACCACAAAATTTGGCCCCTTATATTCCTGTGTGTCCTCTCGGTTCTATGAGTCAGTAAGAAAACCTCAGTTCCCTTCAGCTCCTACCTGGGTTTGGTAAAGAAATAAGCGCATAAGCTGTAGGGTGGGGCGGTCTTTCATTTTGGAAATGGCGACCTGCCCATGCTTCTTGGCCAATAGCCAGACAGTTGTTGGGAATAACTGAAAATACACTGTTTCTGTAGTTTTTAGTGCTGGTGAAGAGAAACTATTTTTGTTGGTCTCTTTCTGTAGGATATCTAGGACTTGTCCAGGCAATAGCTGCAGGGATCTTTATACTCTCGAATCCGTGCTACAGCGGCATAGGACAGCACCCTATTAGCTTTTATCAATTGAGCCCACGTTTATGCAATGTAGGGAAAGCCACTAGGGTCCTTGTGATTTCCGGATGAGGGAAAATGGTGTGCATGGGAGATTCTGCCTCGTTACAGTGTCTGTAGTTTATGAGGTACTATAAAGTAGCTTATTGTATTTTAAAATCACTTAGATGAGCCTATAGGCTAATTTAAGAAGCTTTGAAGTATTGAAGAGTTTGGTATTTAATGAAGGTAAGTGTCCCACCAGAGAAATGCAAGCCCTAAGCACTGTTATTTTAGCACTTGATGTTTGTAGTCACACTCTGATAGCCCCTAGGAGATGCCTGCTGACATGACGCTGTGCTTGTTTGTTTGTTTATCCAAGATGACAACCTCAGGAGGTGGAGGTTTCTGTGACTGTGGTGACACTGAAGCTTGGAAAGTGGGTCCTTACTGTCGGAAACATAAACTGAACACCTCTGAAATTGAGGAAGAGGAGGTAACAACATTCTTCACCAATTCTTTTGGAGGAAATGCTGTTTTAACCATGAAAGTGGGGTTATAACGTGAGAAATGATTAAGTGAAAACAGCCCTGTCACTATGAAACAGTGGCTATGAAACAGTGGCTAAAAGGTATTTGGCAAGTTCTTTGCTTTGGGGCAGGGGTCAAGAGGTGCTTTACTGTGGTTAGAATCTTCCTGAAATAAATTCTACATATTTAATTTAAATACTGACTTTCACTATTAATTTGCTCAGGTCTTCTGGCATTTTGCCATTATCATGTATAGATTGCTTTCTGAGTCGTAATTCATCACTGCAATTATTTTTCCATGTGTGGTGACCAGTTGCCTTAGTTGGGTTTTGTGAATTGTGTGGTAAGGTTTTGTTGACCGGATAGTTGTTGTTGTTGTTGTTGTTGTTTCCTATGGCTGTCCATGGCAGCCAATCCTAACTATTCTCTCCCGGTAAATCATTGCCATTGAGTCTGTGATGCGACCAAGCTTAGAGATTGACGGCGCAGTACAAATTACTGTTGCTACACTTGTAAAAATGTGTTTTCTCTTGGTGTTGATCTTGCATTGCTCTGTTTTTCTGATTAACATTTGTAATGCTGTGGTGGGACTCCCTTCCTACTAAGTAAATGCTTGAATCTCTGCTGGTGTTTGCAACGATTTGATTCCTGTTGTAAGATCCTTCCTGTAGGCAGGTCAGTATTTGGCACATCCAAAGTCCTGCTGCACTACTAGTTGTCCTGATAGCGATTAGGGACAAACAGACATTAATAGTCCTTCCTGATGCACATACCTTACAGGTCTCAAATAGCTTAATGAAATGATCATGATTCAGAGGTATAGAACAATGTCTTTCAGATGATATCTCTCAGAAACCTGAAGCTTTGTCCATGGTCCAGTGTTCTAGAATTTGCTGTAGGAAGCTGCCAAGTGGTTAGGGCTCAGAGCTTTTTCCACTTCAATCAGATCAGCCCCATTTTTCTCTCTTTAGCATACTGGATTGGAGATCTGTTTGTAAAAACATCAACAAAGCTGACAAAAATATATCTTAAAAAGAATTCTACTCTAACAGAAGGTTAAAAGCACTGGTATAAAACTTCAGGATTTCTGTTACCTTTTTATCCCGTGTTAAAAGAGTCCTCTAAGGAAGATCATACGACCCCACGGTTTCTCAGTTGGCTTATTCTTCCATAGTGGGGGCTCTCACTGCCCTAAGCCAATGCACAGTGACACCCTGTAGTCTTCTGAGACTGAAACTGTTGACCAGAGTAGAAAGCCCAGTCTTTCCCCTGTGGAACTGCAAGTGGTTTTGAACTGCTGACCTTACGAATCCCAATCTCAGTGATTAACCACTCAAATAGTGTATGTGCTCATTAGCTTCTTGAATTCTAATAATCCCAGTGAGATCACCTGCCTGGCTGAGCTCATGTGGTACCGCCCTAGAAATGACACACTCCAGGAATTGACAGAGAGCTGCCGACTCCTCTTCCTTTATTCCTCTTTAAAAGTTAAGTTACGAGAAATGAAGAACATGCCTGGTTTCCATGCACTAAAGTAGATATTTCTAGGTATTCTATGATTTGTGCTTGAAGTAAACAAGACCTGAATATTCTTAGAATATAGTTTTTACCAGGAGGGCGACGTAGCACGTGGAGGAATGCAGGAAAAGACTGGACTAGAGGGCCCGCCCCAACCAGAACCAGCCTGGAAGCTTGTGCCGCAGAGAAGGACACTAGACCTTCTGGTGGGGGAAAGGAACCGGCCTACCATACCCAGACTGAAGCAAACCAAGAAGGACAAAGAGAAAGGGGCAGTCAGCCTAGACTCCATATGGGCACACCACGCCCAGAGGATGAGGTCCCTGCATGGAGCTGCTGGAACACAGAGAGGACTATGGGACTACCAATAGCTCAAGATATGTTGCCTCCTAACTTTAGCATATGGAGACAGAGGACAATAATAGGGATGCACGGCAGGGAGACATTGTGGGAATGGAGCATAACAGATCAGCAATTGGAGTAAAGCCGAGTCACAGAGCCCCTGAGGAGCCCCAAGAATGGACTTCGGATGAGGAGGGGCAACCCCTGGATCTCCCTCAGGACCAGAGGGGAGGGTCTCATGGCAGCCAGCAAACAGACCTGGACCTACGTAGGGTTTTTTCTTTTCCTTTTTTATCTCTCGTCCTTTTTCCTTTTCTTTCTTTAACCGTATGTTTTCTTATTCAGACTAGGACATGGATGGTTTGCCTAATTATATGGGTTGGACATGGGAGGGAAGCCCGGGGAGAAGGCAATGGGGCCAATGGCCCCAAAGGTAGAGGGGGAAGAAGGAGGTGGGGAGAAGGGTGTGGTGCAGGGAACAAGTAGGGCAGCGGAACCAGCACCTAGGAGAGGGTAGAGATCCTGTGAGGGTCAGAGCAGCTCCAAGCCAGTGGAGAGGAAGCACTAACAGGTGGAAGAAGGGGATAAGTGATACGGGGCAGGAGGAGGCAAAAGGAAACAGAGGCAAGCTCTAGGAGGCAAAGGCACAGATAGGGAGATTAACAGAGGTGTGCACTTATGTAAATACATTAATCCATAACAATAGTGGTATGGGCCTATGTACATGTATTTATAAGGCAACACACTGAAGCTGCAGATGGGGCCTTGGGCTCAGCTCATACCTTCTCTCAATACAAGAACACTTAGTTCTCACAAATTGGCATTCTGTGATGCTCCCCACCCCCCACCTCACCCCCAACACACAATGATAACTGAAGACAAAATGGGTGCATAAGCAGATGTGATTAATTAAGACAGGATGGTGCCTGGCTATTAAAAGATAAAGTGTCTAGGGTCTTAAAGGCTTGAAGTTAAACAAGCAGCCATCCAACAGTGAAGCAATAAGTCCACATGGAAGAAGCACACCAGCCCATGCGATCCTGAGGTGCCATCGAGACAGGGCAACGGGCATTAGAACACTCACAACAAACAGTAAACAAACAAAAAGACCCAAAGCTCATATGTGAACAATGGAACATTCCCCCACAGAGGGGTTGTAGGGAAGGGGTGAGTCCGTCAGGGTGCAGTAGAGCACTAATGGGTCATGCAGCATACCTCTGATCCTTTGAAGCCACCTCACCACCAACACTCCCCTCCCCCCACTATCATGACCCCAGTGCCGCCTCCCAATCTAGACTAGACAGGAGCATGTACATAGATGCAGGCAAGAGATAAAACTCACAACGCATGGAGCCCAGGAATGGGAATAGAGATACTGTGTTAGTCTGGGTACTTTAGAGAAACAAATCCACAGCAACTCTTAAGTGCGCATCAAGAAAACATCCCAACCCAATGCTGCCCAAGCCCAGAAGTTCAACATTTACCCACATGTCCAACACCAATCCACAAAGTCCTCCTCCATCTCACAAAACAGAGGCAATGATGCCGACTGCAGGAGGAAAGCCGAGTCAGTGAATGTGTAAGCATCTCAGCGCTGGCAGGGGTCTCCACATGGCTGCTCCAGCACCCAGGGCTGGGTAGGTCCATGTGGCTTCTCCTTTGAGATGTCTTGCAGGGAGTAAATGTCTAGAAAAAAACGATGGAATATATGTACGAATATGTCGGATGCAATTGATGTATGGATTGTAACAAGAGTTTTAAGAGTCCCCAATAAAATGATTTTTAAAAAATCATTCAAAATAACTTTTGATAACATTATTATATGATTTTTAGCAGATTATTCAGAGCTTTAAAGAATTAAAAGATACTTATATAACTATTATATACTAATTCATATCAAAAGGTTTTCTTGGTTTGTATGTAAATAAAAAGGCAGATAATTAATGCTGAAATATATATATGTATAGTTTTTTAGCCTGTCTATAGAATTGTTTTTATTGAACATAATTTGTTAATTACACTGACAGCCAACGTTTTATAATAAGTCTAGGAAAATCTTAATCATGCATCCTATAGAAAACATGCTAAGTAGTTTCATGGATCTTCCTAGCTCTTGACCTTTGGAATGGGGCGGCGGCAGGTGGGGGGGGGAGGGTTGTTTCTTCATTGGATAGGCCAGATGGGGGCTAACTATAGTTCACAGACCAGACCTTGTCTGCCGCGACCTATCTTTGGTGTGCTAGTGAGCCAAGAATGGTTTTTAACATGTGTAAATAATAGGAAAAAGTTAAAACAATTATCGTTTGAGATGTAAAAGTTACATAAAATTAATACCTTATTGGTCATAAATAAAGTTGATTGGAACACAGCCTTGCTTGTCATTTGAATATTGTCCACAGCTGTGCCCCTCAGCGAGAGCAGGTTGGGTCATTATCACAGCCCCTGGGGTGGAGCCTGCAAACACTGAAGTATTACTGTGGGACCCTTCATAGAAAGCGTTTGCCACCCCCAAACAGACTCTCGTGAGCACTTCCCACTCCCTAAATGCCAGCATCATCTCCCTGCCGTCACTAACAACGAATACCAACCAGCTTTCCAAAAGGCCCCTGGATATGAGAGTGACCAGAGGGCCGCCACATGTGATGCAACGGGGGCTCCTTCAGAAAAGCTCCTGAGAAACGTGGCTTTCCTGCTAATGAGACTGCTGGTTGACTGTGACCCCTTTGGTTGAGGCTCCTGGGAAGACCGGAGGCAGGTGTCTAGTCATTCTGGAACAGCTGTGTGGACATGATCTGCTGTGTCAATTGATATCTTAACCTCAGCGTATGTTTTTCTACCTCTTTTTGTTTTGATCATTTTATTGGGGGCTTTTACAGCTCTTAATAGTCATCCATGCATCAATTGTATCAAGCATATTTGTACATATGTTGCCATCTTTATTTTCTAGACATTTGCTTTCTATTTGAGCCCTTGCTATCAGCGCCTCTCTTTTCCCTCCCTCCCTTCTCTCCCCGCCTCGTGACCCCTTGATAAATTATAAATTATTTTCCTATCTTACACTGACCGCTGTCTCCCTTCCCCACAGTTTCTGTTGTTCTTGCCCTGGGTTGAGGAATTCATGTGTCCATCATTGTGATCGGTTCCCCCTTCCTCTCCTCCTCTCCCCACATTTCCCCTACCCTCCTGGTATCACTACTCCCATTTCTGTTCCTGAGGGGTTTATCTGACCTGGATTCTGCCTATCATGAGCTCTTACATGCTCCGGTCTATCCCTAAGTGAAAGGCAGGACTGGGGTCTTGATAGTGGGGTGTGAGGAACCTCAAGGAACCCCGTTCTCAACGATGCTTTTTCGTTTGGGGTCTTCTGCCTGTTACCTGGTCCCATCTCCATAGATAACCTCATGATTATACAGACTGGTGTGCTTCTTCTGTGTGGTTTGTTGTTTCTCTGCTAGATGGCTACTTGTTTAACTTCAAGCCTTTAAGCCCCCGGACTGTATCTTTTGATAGCCAGGCACCATCAACTTTCTATACTACATTTGCTTGTGTACCCATTTTGTCTTCAGCGATTGTGCTGGGGAGTTGAGCCAGATTGAATCACAGAATGCCAGATTGTTAGAACAAAGTGTTCTTGCGATTTGAGAATGAGATTTAATGAAATAACAAACTGATTTTTAATGAACACTCCCAGTAAAGATTTTGATGATAAAACATTGACTTATTGAGGCTCTCACATCTCATTTGAATGGAGATCCCACCAAACCAAAACCCAGCCCAGTGCCATTGAGTCCAGTTTGACTCATAGCACACCTATAGGAAAGGGTAAAACCGCCCCTGTGGGTTTCCAAGACTGTCTTTCGTAGATTTGAACAGCTGACCTTGTGGTTAGCAGCCCAATGCATAATCTGTGCCACCAGTGCTCCCTCAAAAGTAGATAAAAAATGAAAAAAACCTCACTGCCGTCAATTCAATGCAAAAACTCATAGTCACCTTACAGGACAGGGTAGAACTGCCCCTGTGAGTCTAGACTGGTATTCTTTAAGCCCCATCTTTCTACTGTTGAATATAAATCAGTGACAATTATATAGCTAAGCCTTATGCTAAGTAGTTTACTTAATTTATCTCATTAAAGTCTCAGAACAACCCTATAAGATAGATACTCTTGTTACTAATATTTTATAGATGCAGAAGTTGGGTTTCAGAGAGATCTAGAAACTTGACAAAAACTTCCCACAGAGTAGATGCTGGAGCTGGGGCTCGGCCTGGTTAGAACAGCAACAAAGCCGACACCTCAGAAACGGAGCCTTGCTAGTGGGTCACACTGTGTTTTTAAGGCTTTTTTTTTTTGCCGTAGAATTGTTCATTTTTGGTTCTTCGTGGTCAAAATTCTAATATTCCTATAATAGATAAAAAGTGCTAATAGATTTACTTTTTATAAGTTAGATAGTATATAGTGTATTTACTTGGCAGTCAATCATAAGATGAATGGGATTGTTTCAATGGTTTTACTTTACCCCCCTTTCATTTGCTATGGCTGCCTTAGCAAATAACCACACCATGAGTGGCTCTAAGGAGCAGAGATTTTAGTTTCTCACAGCTCTCCATGCTAGAAGTGCACGTCAGGGTCCCAAGCTGTGTTGACCGAGCCTGGGAGCTTTGAGATAGGAACTGTTCAGCGCTTCTCTCTCGGTCTGGTTCTGGTGGAGGCTGCCCACAACCCTTAGCATGCCTTTGCTTGTAGACCCTCTCGTCTGTCTTTCCTTGTCTGTGACTTGCTTCCATGCCTGTCCGTCTCTTTACACGACTGGGACCCGGCTTGCTCTGGCACGACATCATCTACTGACTCACCTTTTATGGGGACACATTTCAATTACAACACGACTTTTTGGCCTTTAGGTTATTTCCGTGTTGTTTTCAGTTAGGCATTAAAGAGAGAAAAAAATCCTCATTCCTTATTTGCATATGATAGCAGATTTTGTACAATAAAATCTTTATTGTAATACAAAGGAAAAGAAACAGTGCTATCGAGTCAGTTTTGACTCATAGCAGCCCTGTAGGACAGGGGAGAGCCGCTCCCTAGATTATCTGAGAATATAAATCTTTATGGAAGCAAATAGTCTCATCTTGGAGTTGTTGGTGGGTTCGAACCACTGACCTTTTGGTTAGCTTCCCAGGCCTTAGCCAACTATGCCACCAGGACGACTTCAACATTGTAATGCAAACATTATAGAAATGTATCACATACAAGATTAAAGTTCTCCCTAATTCCCATTGTCTTGTAAGAGAAGCACTTCATTTCAAGGGGAAATCAACATTAGCTCCCCCACGAATGCTGACTTTCTCTAACATAAATGTAGTCAAAGAACTAAAATGATGAGCAGTAACTGCTCATACAACATAGGATATGGTGGTCATTGATATACTTGTCACCGCTGGCTTGTGCTGTGACAGCAGCACTGTGGGCACCGTGCCTCAGTCTCCCCTGGCATGCAGTTCGCTGTGGTGCCTATGGGCTGACCTGTACAGACGCATCATCTCTTCCCTGCAGACATCCCTTCTTCATTACTGACAGATTCTCCTCGAAGTTTACATGTTCAGACACAGATGGTAACATCTGCATCCCTGGTCCTGGGTTAATCTAGCTATAAAATTACCAGTTGGTGATACCAGGTATGTAACAAGACACATTTTAGAATATGTTTTTCTACTACGGTTTTTTAGTATAGATACGTGTTTTGTTGTCAGCAGACACGTAAATCAAATAGGAAGCAATTCAACCACACTTTGGGATTGGGGACTAAAGTTTGACAAATACTGTATATACTTGTGTATAAGCCAAGTTTTTCAGCACATTCTTAATATAGTTTTGTGGTAAAATTAGGTGCCTCAGCTGATATTCGGGTTGGCTTATACTCAAGTATATACAGCGTTAGTTTGGATTTTCAATAATTAGGTCATGCTTCTGTATCGAGACCATTTGATTCTTACAAAATCTGTTTATCACGATCCTCTAGTTTCTAAATATTGTATGGGCTATAACTACAAGAAATGGAATGTGTAAGTGATGAAATTCAAGAAAGCTGAGTGTGGGTTCTACTTTCTATCTGGTATAGTGTAAGCTTTATTATTTTCAGTATTATTATTCCCAGTCTGTTGTGAATGCCCCGAAGGTACCAGCTTTAGTTCCTTCTGTGCACCAGTGGTGGTTTTAGTATGTTAAAATCTACTGACTCTAGAAAAAAAAAAGTAGTAAACCTTACTAGTAGGGGAAACAACAGCTTGATGGGCCATATGCAGAACCTGTTTGGGGGAAGTCAGAAGTCAGAGGGCTCTATGAACTGGAGAAATCTTTTTCTCTCTGAGATAGGTAAATGCACCTTCTCCAACCCCCAGGGCTATCTCCTTTAGGAATCTTTGTCCTTCTTCATCCATTCTTGTTTTGTGTTCGCCTTCTCCGTTTACTTTACACCAGTCTACTAGACTTCTCTTTGGCACGTGTATACAAAAAAAATCACGGCCTTTTGTGTGTAGATTGACAAGAATTTGCTGCTTGCATCACAGTACTAAAGTTCCGAGACTTCTGGTGAAGCATTAAGATTAAAGATTGTATACAACATTTTGCCAAAGTTAAAGTTACCATGATAAGCTTCGTTTTAAAAAGATAGGTATTTTTGCACTAACCAGAAATGTGTTGGCTGTTTACTGCACTACTGGTCATATATGCATCGTCCCTGCTAACATGCATTCACATCTCACCTGCTGAGAAACTAGTCACCTGAGTGTATCCAGGGAACCTGTTCTGACCTGGTTGAGTTCTTACCTTCAAAACCCCCCAAATTAGGCATAATATTTCTATCACATTTACTTAGCTGGTATGAGAAATTGGGGGTTAATAGCCTATCGAGCTATAAAAATATTTTATATTAGGTCTTCGAGACCCTGAAATGTAGTTTCAGATTTATTCAGTAGGCATTGGGATATAACTTACTATTTTGATCCCATAACTGTGGTGATTCTGAACAGTGGGTTTCAGGAAGCTTGAATTCATAGGAAGTAATGTACAGGATCAAATTGAATGTCAAGAAGATGCAGCTGGAAGACCAGCCAGCTTTTCACAGTGGTCTTCTGAGGAGTGGAGGGAGAATGATAAAGAGGAGAATTAATATGAATTTAACGTGTTTGCTTTTTTTCTTCTCTCCCCATTCTTTCTTTCAGGATCCTCTTGTGCATTTGTCAGAAGACATGATAGCAAGAACGTATAACATTTTTGCTATTATGTTTCGATATGCAGTAGAGATATTAACCTGGGAGAAAGAAAGTGAATTGCCAGCAGATTTAGAGATGGCGTAAGTATAACCCATTTATTCTCTGCATCTGAAAAACTATTAAATTTTCATATGCCATCATGAGGCATAATCCTTTTTTAAAAACCAATGTCTGTGTTAGACCAGGTTGACTAGAGAAACAAATCCAGAGCTACTCATATATGTATAAGAAAGAGATGTATATCAAGGAGCCATTGTACATTGAGATCAAGTCCATAAGTCTGATATTAGCCCATACGTCCCATATTCGTCCATACATTCCTCCTCAGGCCAACCCAGCACATGCCATGATGCCGAGTGCAGGAAGATCACAGGCCAGTGAGTGAAAGGTCTTGTGTAAGCTCCAGTCTCGGTGGAAGCATCTTAGTGCTGGTGAGGGTCTCCACATAGCTCCTCCAGCTCTCAACAGCAAAGTGAAGCAGAGAGAGAGTGTGGCTCACCTCCTGGGAGAAGGAGGAAGTTCCCAGAATCCTCGTGAGAAGGCCACTCCCCCAAGGAGGCATCATCAGGCTGTGACCTTAGTGATAGGCTAGACTCCACCCCTCTACTTATTCATCAAGTTGACATGACATTATGTAACTAACACAGTGTCTAACACAATAACTTTGATTTTATACTTTTCAAAAATGTGTGATCCCTTTTCTAAAGGTGAACCCTCTGGGTAGGTCCTTGGTTGGTTTGTAACCTTATTTAAATTGTTTGGGCTCACTGGATTTTCTATTTCATTGTGTGATAAGACTGGGGAGTAGGTAATGTTGCTGTTTTTACCGTAAGTTAGTTTTTCTGGACCAAATAAATGCTTGAACTCAATTTTAACCATCTAACTATAAAATGGTTTCAATACTTTGTGTGTTTTTAGAGTACAGCGGACATTGCTGAGGGCAGCATTCTCCCATAGCCACATTTTGTTTGTTCAATGTAAACTGTTGCCGGTTTTAAAATGTGAAGATAGGATCTGAAACATGTTATTTGCAGGTCACCCAGGCCACCGTTCGACTGGCTGCCGTCCCCTTAGAGGGGAGTGTGAGCCCGTGACCAGCGTCATTCCATGACCTCGCTCACCGGTCTAACACAAGAGGCATTTGCATGTGAGGCCCCTGAGGAGCGCTTGCCTTCCATGAATTCACTCTACCCAGCTATGTTTTTTCCGTGCTTAGGTGTCTACTTTATCACATGTTCTTTATTACACGTCAGAATGGGGCTTTCTTCTTTTTCGGTCCGCGTGTTCCCACCACCCTGTTTGCTTTCCATCCCCCGGGCCGGCCGCTAGCCTTGTTCTCATCAGTGCCAGCGGCAGGACAGGGGGTGCTGCGCCTTTGCCTTCTTAGTAGTGTCTCAGAGAGATAAAGTGGGAGCGTAAATGTTCTTTACACACGTTGAGGTTTTAACTATATTGTGTCTCGTCGGAAACATGTTTAAATTACTTAGTACCTCATGACTGTACCTCCGCCTGCTTCCGGCTGGAACTGCTGAGCTGAAATCTCAACTTAGACCCTAGCAAGTGGGATAGTTTTGCTTTTGTCTGCCCTTCCCTCGTGGATGCAGGGCCACCAGCACAGCAAAGACTGGCATCTCGCTCGCTTCTTTGGTCATGCCAACAGTGTTCCGTCTACCCAGGAGCAGGGCTCCCTTGTGTCCAGTCAGAGGCCTGCTCAGCAGTTTTTCCTACTGACAGCCTGTCCCGCCTTGTTGCATTTGTGTCTCTCCATGCCTCCCACCCTCCTCCTCCTGCCCATCCTCTGCGCTGAGCTGTGAAGCCGCAGAAAGAGCAGAGCTGCCCCAGGGGTTGCTCGGGCTGTCGATCTTGAAGGAAAGCTGACGGCTTCATTGCTCTTCAGACCACTGACTTTTTGGCTCATGGGCCAGCGTGTGACCCACAGTGCCAGCAGGGCTCCTTGACTGCCACCTTAGATGCCCCCACTTCATAAGTGTCCAGCCGAGCTCCCATAGGCACTTTGCCTCTGGACGCATTCCTAACCCTATCACCAAGGTGAGCTTTAAACCAAATCTGTGCATGGCTCCTGCTTCAACGTTTTGGTTGGCTTTGTTCTCGCTGTGTGCCTTTGAGTCAATTCCAACCTCTAAAACAGAGGTTCTCAATCTGTGGGCCGTGACCCCTTTTGGGGTGGGGGGGCAACGACCCTTTCACAGGGGTCGCCTAAGACCATCGGAAAACAAATTTCCGATGGTCTAAGGAACCGAGACACCTTTCCTCTCCTCTAGCTGTCTCCAGGCAGGTCCGCCCACATGCAGAGATGCCCACATATGAGTACCCGGCGTGAAGACTGTTACCCATGCTACACCATGGTTCAAGACAGCATTTCATTGATTTGCCATTAGAAATAAATATTTCACAATATATAGTGACATGTTGTTTTGTGATTCATCACTATGCTTTCATGATGTTCCATTTGTCATGATGAAATACATCCTGCCTATTAGATATTTACATGATGATTCATAACTAGCAAAACACCAGTGATGAAGCAGCAATGAAAATCAGGTTTTGGTTGGGGGTCCCCACCACAGGAGGAACTGTGTTACAGGGTCGCAGCATTGGAAAGGCTGAGAAGCACTGCTCTGAGCCGAGCAGAGCTACCCCAGAGGGTTCCCTAGGCTGTCAGCTGTACAGGCGTGCACGCTGCCAGACCCGGTCTCCACCGAGCAGCTCGTGGCTGCGACCAGCTGACCTTCGGTTGCTGTCAGAGTCTTTTTAACCCCTAGGATGACAGGAGCCAAAATCCTTCTTGAGGTCTTCAAGATTTCTGCCTCTGTCTCCAAACGTACCTAATACCCATCTCTCTCTGCGTGCGTGCGTGCGTGTTCCAGCTCTCCATATGTTTCCCAGTCCACCTTAGCCTTTGCTTTCTTTCACCTCTGCCTCAGGATTCCTCAACCCCAACACTCGTGGGCTTTGGGGCCAGATGGCTTTGTTGTCAGGCTGTCTGTTGCATTGTGGAATGTGTAGCAGCATCCCTGACCCATGGAGCCAGCTAGATTCCAGTCCAGACCTTGCTGTGTGGCTCCTGGGAGAAGCGATCTTCTGCCCAGTGGAAATAGCCCAGAATATTCCCAGACATTGCCATCTAGTCTGGCAGAGGGAGAGTCGGTCTTCTTTGAGAGCCACTCTTGGCCACTCCTGCTTTTGGATCTTTTCTGAATTCTTGCACTTGTTAGACTCTTCTCTAGCACCCCATCCTCTTGATAAAGGCCAGTGCACGTTGAAATTGATGCTCAATACCTATCATCCCACTGGACTTAGGATCGTAGTGCATCGGTCCCACAGGTGACTTGGTATGCACACTTAGATGTGTGAAAAACACACAGCACATTCCCTAGAACAAGATACGCTCTTAACAACCAGCCTGCAGCGGCTAATAGACAAATAGCCTATCTAATCTGCCATGTAATGGTTCTTTTCCACAGAGAGAAGAAGGACACCTATTATTGCATGCTGTTTAATGATGAGGTTCACACCTATGAACAAGTGATTTTCACTCTGCAGAAAGCTGTGAACTGTACACAAAAAGAAGCCATTGGCTTTGCAACTACGGTCGACCGAGATGTAAGTAATTTAATCATACTGATAACACATAATAAATTGAAGTTTGGCTAATAGAACACTAGCTCAGAAAACCAGAAGGTATACATACCGAGGCTATATAATACCCATTTGAACATCGGTGTCCAGGTATTCAAAGATAAGTCCAAAGTATTGGCACACAGTTGCAGTCCATAACGCATCCATTATTCCTCATATGTCTCTGCCATCGGCGCATGTCTGCACACAAGCGCTCTCATTAATATACCATATGTGCTCGTGTATAAGCTGAGTTTTCCAGCACATTTTAAAAAAATCATTTTATTGGGGGCTTGTACACCATGCATACATACATCCATACATCTATTGTGTCAAGCACATTTGTACATTTGTTGCCATCATCATTCTCAAAACATTTGCTTTCTACTTGAGCCCTTGGTATCAGCTCATTTTTCCCCTCTCTCCCCGCTCCCTCCCCCTCACAAACCCTTGATAATTTATAAATTATTATTTTGTCATGTTTTACACTGTCCAGCATTTCCTTTCACCCACTTTTCTGTTGTCCCCCAGGGGGAGGGTTATATGTAGATCATTGTGATCGGTTCCCCCTTTCTACCCCACCTTCCTTCCACCCTCCTGATATTTCCAGTCTCACTACCAGTCCTGAAGGGTTCATCCTTCCTGGATTCCCTGTGTTTCCATTGCTATTTGTACCAGTGTACATACTCTGGTCTAGCCAGATTTGTAAGGTAGAATTGGGATCATGCTAGTGGGGGCTGGGAAGCATTAAAGAACAAGAAGAAAGTTGTGTTTCATCATTGCTACACTGCACCTTGACTGGCTCACCTCCTCCCCACAACCCTTCTGTAAGGGCATGTCCAGGTGCGTGCAGATGGGCTTTGGGTCTCCACTCCGCACTCCCCCTCATTCACAATGATAGGATTTTTTTGTTCTTTGATGCCTAATACCTGATCCCTTTGACACCTCATGATCACACAGGCTGGTGTGCTTCTTGCATGTGGGCTTTGTTGCTTCTGAGCTAGATGGCCTCTTCTTTACCTTCAGACCTTTAAGACCCCAGATGCTATATCTTTTGATAGCCGGGCACCATCAGTTTTCTTCAACACATTTGCTTATGCACCCATTTTGTCTTCAGTGATTGTGTCAGGAAGGTGAGCATCACGGAATGCCAGTTTAATAGAACAAAGTGTTCTTGCATTGAGGAAGTTCTTGAGTGGAGGCCCAATGTCTATCTGCTACCTTATACTAAACCTATAAATATATGCACATAGATCTATTTCCCCGTCATCATATATAAATATATGTACTGGCCTGTATTTAGCCCTCTATAAATGCCCTTTGCCTCTTAGTTCTTTCCTCTATTTCCTTTTACTTTCCTCTTGTCCCACTATCATGCTCAGCCTTCATTCAGGTTTCAGTAATTCCTCTCAGTCACATTATCCTTGATCATTACCAGGGCTCCTACACCCTCCTCACCACTGATTTTGGATCACTTGTTATTCCCTGTCCTTGGGTTTGCTAACACCCACTTCCTTTCCCTCAACTCCCCATCTCTCATGTCCCCCACCCCCACCCCCAACCATCAGTCCCGTTGTTTTCTCCTGCAGATTTCTTATTCCACGTATGTTATCTAGATAGACCTGCAGAGATAGTAATAATGTACAAAAACAAGACAGAACAAAACAAAGCAACAAAAGAAAAGAACAACAACAAAAATCCAATGACAAAAAAGAGAAAAGCTTGTAAATAGTTCGAGGTCTGTTTGTTGACCTTTAGGTGTTTTTCCAGTCACGTCTGATGGGGTGTCAAGACCTGGCCCCAAAGTCTATTTTTGGTATTCCCTCAGGACTTCGTTGCTCTGCTCCCCTTGCCGTTCTGTTGCGGCCCTTAATGTTCCTCCGTGGTGTGGTGGGGTCAGACCGGGCACAATTCCCACACTGTGTCTCCAGTGTTGTCCCCTGTAGGGCTATGGGTCAGCGAGGGATGTCATGTCTCATAGTGGGGCCGGCCATATGGTCTTCTCTGTGCATTGGCTGCTCTGAGCAGGGATGTCATCCTCAAGGTTTGGTGGGCCAAGATGTGCTCCACTCCCTCTACCTCCCCCTTCATTTGCTCCCGTGTGCCCTGATCAGACATGTCCCTCTCCCTGAGCTGTAGCTTCAGGGCTGTCCTCTGAAGTAAATTCTTCTGGGGGGAGGGGCAGCTGTCCACATAGT